AATAAAAAAAGTTTTTTTTAATTAATACTCTGGAACATATCAATTTTATCATATTTACAAATTAACGTTTTGCTACGTAACAACATAATCCCTTATATACCAGTAAGTAGACAATTTTCATTATTTTCTAAAAATTTTAAACTTCACGTTAATGAAAAACAGTGAAAAATTAAGATATGCTGGTTAGTTAGTCAGAAAAAGTCATCGAATGGTAGTATTTGCAAGAAATGCACGGCTGAGAAATCAATTAGGCTAGGACCTTGATTCGCCTGCAGTAAGCTCAATTTTTCTAGAAACTTTTTTTTTTTTTTTTTTTTTTTTTTTACAACGCGAATCAATGGAGTTGCTTATGCGCGAATTTCTGCAGTTCTCCGATTTCTTTTACGTGAAAGCAGATTTCTTAGTATATGAGCAACGCAGAGTTTATCACCGTCTGATTTTTTAAGTGAAAAGGATCGCTATAAATGGCCAATGCAGTGCGCAAGTGCCGCAAGGTTGTGCGCGGTGCCTAGTTTGTGCAATTCTCTAGGATGTCTTTTTAAAGTGGAAATAGATCGATGTGTACATGGGCAAGAGCCAATGTAGTGCGCAATGCCGAGGTTGTTGCGCGGTGCCTAGTTATGTGCAATTCTAGCATTGTTTTTAAGTGGAAAATAGATCGATGTGTACATGCGCAGAGACAATCTGGTGCGCAATGCCGAGGTTGTGCGCCGTGCCTAGTTTGTGCAATTCTAGGATGTCTTTTTAAGTGGAAATAGATCGATGTGTACATGGGCAGAGCCAATGTAGTGCGCAATGCCGAGGTTGTGCGTGGTGCCTAGTTTGTTACTAAATTTAAGTATGTGCAATTCTAGGATATTTTTTTAAGTGAAAATAGATCGATGTGTACATGGACAGAGCCAAAGTAGTGCGCAATGCCGAGGTTGTGCAATTCTCTGATATTTTTAAGGTGGAAATAGATGGATGTGTACATGGACACCGAGCTTTGATGTTTTTCGAGCAAATACGGATCGTTGTGTATAAAGGAAAACGCGATAATGTATGATGACGAGCTGTAAAGTAACGTATTTTATATGCAATGTTTAACATATCGTTTGTGTATTTTAAATTTGTATTGTTGTTTTAATTGTGAATTATATTTAAGACATCATTTTAATTTTCTTAAATTCCTAAATCACATTATATTCCCTGTAGGCAGGCATACTAGAATTCTACACACAAATAAATAAAAAATTTAATTTCTCGCAATGAAACAAAATATTATAAGAAAATAAATACTACAAATTAGGAACACTAAGCAATGCTTCACATACACACACACATAGAGTGTCTCACAAAAGTGATGGGACACTTGTGCTTTACAAAAGGAAACTGTAGTAAAATAAATTTTAAAAAAACATGTAAAAATTTTTTGTGGGTGTGTTTCATACTTAAATTTAGTAACAATTATTACATAACATACATTTTCTCAAACTATTAAAATATCAATTTAATAAAAATACAATTGTTTAGAACGGAGCAAAAAATGGCTCACATAAGTGATGGGACACTTACTTTTCCATCAAATATTTATCCAAAAACTTTACTTTATAAAAGGTTTTATATTTTTGTTGGATTTCCTTTTACTTTTTAAAACATGATTTAATCTTCTTGGGATGGTTTCGATTAATTTTTTTGCGATTTCTGGAGTGATTTTACACCATTCTTCTTGAAGCACCGATTTTAATTGTTGTTTTGAAGAAATGGTGTGTTTGTGAAATTCTTCTCTGGGTTTTATCCACACCAAGATTCTACAGTCAGAATCAAATATATTAAATTTACTCTCATCAGCAAATATAACTTCATTCCAGTAATCAGAATTATTATTTATGTTGGATTTTGCGAAAGCCAGTCTGAGGTTTCTATTCTTTTCACTCAACGAAGAATTTTTTCCTGGCTGCTCTACCGTGATATCCAGCAAATCGAATTACTCTTCCAATAGTCTCAGGATTTACAATTACTCCATATAATGTTTGTAAATCAGCAGCAACTTTAGGAGCATTCATTCTTGGATTTTTTTTTTAATATTTCGAACGATAATTCGCTTTATTCCATTGGATAGCTTTGATGGCCGGCCAGGTCTTCTTTTATCCTGAATCATATGATTCTTTTTATATCGTTTAATGATATTGAAAACTGTTGAATGACTCAGGTTAACTGTTTCAGCAGTTTCTCTAATAGAATTTCCACGTTCAATATGCAAATTAATGACTAATTTTCGAATTTCAGGCAAAGTTTCTTTTTGTTTAGCATTCATGGCTGCACAGAGATAAAAAACACAAAAATTCCAAAACAAACTGGAGAGAAATACTGCAGACGATTTTTTATAAATTATTGACAATTGCTTTTGAGTAAAATAAAAACCCCAAAAAAATTTTTTATTGCTTACTTCAGACGATTTTTGTTGCATAGTACGTAGTAGTATCTAATGGTGTCCCATCACTTATGTGAAACATTTTTGCTCCGTTCTAAACAATTGTATTTTTATTAAATTAATATTTTGAGAAAATGTATGTTATGTAATAATTGTTACTAAATTTAAGTATGAAAACACACCCCAAAAAAATTTTACATGTTTTTTTTTAATTTATTTTATTACAGTTTCCTTTTGTAAAGCACAAGTCTCTCATCACTTTTGTGAGACACTGTATTATCAAAGAACTCATATTATCAAGTGCGATTACGATTGCAAACACTACGTATTAATAATAATGAGGTAAAAGTTACTTATAGGGTCAAAGTTTACAGTTTTGCTACTGTTGAGTAGATCCTCGGGCTATCGATATATATCGTAAGTCGGAAAGCATTATAAACATATCAAAACCAAAAAATTAAAAATACAATTTAAATTAAAAATGATGTCTTAAATATAATTCACAATTAAAACAACAATACAAATTTAAAATACACAAACGATATGTTAAACATTGCATATAAAATACGTTACTTTACAGCTCGTCATCATACATTATCTCGTTTTCCTTTATACACAACGATCCGTATTTGCTCGAAAAACATAAAAGCTCGGTGTCCATGTACACATCCATCTATTTCCACCTTAAAAATATCAGAGAATTGCACAACCTCGGCATTGCGCACTACTTTGGCTCTGTCCATGTACACATCGATCTATTTTCACTTAAAAAAATATCCTAGAATTGCACATACTTAAATTTAGTAACAAACTAGGCACCACGCACAACCTCGGCATTGCGCACTACATTGGCTCTGCCCATGTACACATCGATCTATTTCCACTTAAAAAGACATCCTAGAATTGCACAAACTAGGCACGGCGCACAACCTCGGCATTGCGCACCAGATTGTCTCTGCGCATGTACACATCGATCTATTTCCACTTAAAAAACATGCTAGAATTGCACATACTAGGCACCGCGCACAACCTCGGCATTGCGCACTACATTGGCTCTGTACACATCGATCTATTTCCACTTAAAAAGACATCCTAGAATTGCACAAACTAGGCACCGCGCACAACCTCGGCATTGCGCACTGCATTGGCTTTGCCCATTGAATAAACTCTGCGTTGCTCATATACTAAGAAATCTGCTTTCACATAAAAGAAATCGGAGAACTGCAGAAATTCGCGCATAAGCAACTCCATTGATTCGCGTTGTAAAAAAAAAAAAAAAAAAAAAAAAAAAAAAAAAAAAAAGTTTCTAGAAAAACTGAGCTTACTGCAGGCGAATCAAGGTCCTAGCCTAATTGATTTCTCAGCCGTGCATTTCTTGCAAATACTACAATTCGATGACTTTTTCTGACTAACTAACCAGCATATCTTAATTTTTCACAGAAAACGTTATCCTTCAATAATCGACAATCCATCAAAAATCCTCTAAAAAGTTCATACTCTATTGTTAATTCATACATAAAATATCTGTTCCCAAAATTTTACTCTTGTTTGAAAACTCCCACCTTAAATTTTCCTTTATAATCTCCTGATACTTAATTACAACATCACTAACAGTAGTTTTACAGCAAGCAATAACTAAACGCAAAAATATCACCTCGAGTAGCCAAAAAAATATATACAAAATAGTATTCACGGTATTTGAGCGTTAAACAATCGCCAATAACAGAGTTACGAATTGTGTATTTAGATATTAATTTTAGTAGAATTCTAATTTAAAATGTTGTATTTCCTCCTGCAACGCAGCGTGAGACAAATTTTAAGAGAAATCTATGTCGGAAAAGTAAGAATACAGGGCACGTGCATTAAACTTTGAGTAAACGGATATGTCGGTAATTTGTATTGAAATTGAATAAATGTAACTGACTACTAAATTAGCTATAACCGTAATTCCATCCTCTTGTTTACATTGCGTTTGGCGAATAGTATGGGTTACCAGATCATATCATTTATCGCCTCTCTTGGCGATATTTTTTTTGTTTAAAATTCCGGCTGGGCTATACTAAAGCTGTGCCTAATATTTTAAACACGGAATTTATGCACAATAAAACGCATTATTTTTTAAATAAAATGACAACAAAGTATCGGTTACCATAAATAACATATACAGCAATGCGTTTACCATAAGTTGTATTACTCGCCAAAGGAAAATCGCCAAAAAATCGCCAAAATCCGTGCAACCGTCTACCAAAGTAGCACCTAACTTTTAAAATAAACAATACATTTTCTTGCTTAAGAAAAATTCCAAAATCTTTATTCCATCCACTTTTTACACTTAGGGAAATCAAACATTATTTTTTCTAATCCTTCTTACAGTTGTCACACACACACACAAAAGCGGTGTCTAAACTAATAGAAAACAACGACATTTGAAGCTCGCTCACAAGTATAAACCCATGGAGCTCGTAACAGCAGTTTTGTAAATACCAATTTTTCTATTAATTTCTTCAGATGAGCATGAATAAGCTAAGCCATCATAAATTACGATGCACGGACTTTGTATTGCATTTATGATACCTAGCAGTCTAAATTTAAATTCATTTCTAACAAGCATACGACAGAAAATATTTCACTCCGAAGTTTCGTTTTTTCAACCACTTCAAATAAATGAACAAATAAATATGCCATTGAAATGTCCATAAATGGTTCCAGAAAAAATGATTTAAAATACAATATGATTCAAATATTGCCGCATTAATATTTCGGAATTTTATATAATAGTCACTCACTGACAATGATTCTTTATAAATGCGATGCATTCCCAAATATGCCAGTGAAATATCAAAAATCCAGAAGAAAAATCAGAGATTCTCACGCATCTCGTAAAAATGAAGAGGAATCTAATAATCTGTTTGGTATATTAGCTCACGATTTCTCCCACAGAATTGATTCTTGCACTAAAGAAGCGAAGACAGTGAAGAAAACTCCTACGAGTTATAGAGACGACTACTGCTTGCGAAAGAAACTTCCCAAACGGCCTGCTTCTTGTCGTCCTTTCCCAAGAATTATGACATTCGATGAAAAATTTTCAGCAAACAGCACCTATAGTCGGGATTTTATCCCTTACAGTGAGAAACATATGAAAAACTCCAGAGGCAGTATGGTTATCCATGAAGATCATTTAGCTTATCCACCTGCTGGAAAATTTATGAGCGAAAGTGAGACAAAATATGCCTTTCAATTCCCTAAAGTCAAGCACATTCAAGAAAGACAGCGGGTATTGTCTTTTAAACACAAAAGTAGAGATTTTGTTAACCGAATACTTTCAGATGATGCTGAAGTAACTTATCATACGACAACTTATGACTCCCATTTCAAGATACCAAAAATATTTGAAAGATCAAAATTTTGTCACCCAAAAGATGAAATCCAAGTCTCAGCAGAACCTTTCAAAAATTATTCGCAGTACGCAGTTGACTATAAAAGGCCACAGAAGCCGAAAAAGTAAGTAGATAATTGTCCTATCATTTACGCATCTTTTTAGTTTAAAGTTTTATGGTTCCGAAATCAAATTTATGTCGATATCTGATAAATAAACAAGTTAATTTCAAACCTAATGAGGTAAAATTCACATTTAGATTGACGCTATTTCATAAGAAAATTAAGTATTTTGAATGAGACAGCAAAGGATTATTCTTCTTCAAGAAGCAAAATGATTTGCTCCGTAAGCTGGAAATTTATTCAGGTTTGCTATGAAATTGACTTCAATCTACAGTTACGTTTACTTAAATAATGGTCAGTACCGACTTATAGTGATTAATTATTATTATTATTATTTTAAATACCAAATCCGATTTTAAAAGAAGATAGTTTTTCTGCTTTTGAGAGGTATACCAAATAACCGACTAAATTACTTCGGACATAGAAGTTATGTGTCATATTTAAGATTTAAATTTTATTAATCAGTTACTTTCTGTCACTATCTATCCTATGTTCCTTGGCTTATCAAGATACTTGCTGAGACGGGAGGTTTATGCGATTATACGGCAAGAGCCATAGTTTTTAAGTGTACCCTTAAACCATGAGATCGTTAAAACTTGTTTACCGCCTTGAATTTACCGCCGCGATTTTACCGCCTTAGGCTATCAAAGGTTTGATGAAGCTGGATGAACAGAAGCTGGTATTTGAAGAAATGTCAGCTTTTTCTTTTCATATGAGCAAATTTCGTAGCATAAAATTATACTTCAAAAACGCAGTAACCTGCTAGGAAAAGTCTGATGTCCTACATAGAATGTATCTTCAAAATTTTGCAAAGTTTGAAAAAAGAACAGCTTATTATAGCATACCGTTAACGAATATTTTCAAATATCAGTATAATCAGTATCACCAAATAGCAGTAATCTGTACAATGAATCAATTAATTAGGAAAGAACAATGATATTTTTTGCATCCTGAACAGATGGAATGGGAATTGTTCTTTAATAAAACTTACCTTTTATTCCAAGCCACCAGTGGAAACGAGTGCACAAGATAGCTACACATTGGTATTTTTATCTAAATTTGAATCTTACCGAATAAGGCAGCTGCATGCGCATTTTTGTGGTTTTTCCCATACGCAATGTGAATACGAAACAGTTTGTCTTTGAAAACTTCCTCTACGAAAATATCCCTTCCTTGGGAGAAAGAGAGTCTGCATCCGCCTGAATTAAAGCATTTGTCAGTTAAAGCATGACCCATTTATTCAAATTAATTTTGGTACTACTTTGGTAGACGGTTGCACGGATTTTTGGCGATTTACATTAGGGCAATTGTTGGCGCGGTTTTTACAGTCGTCAGCCATCTTGAAAAATGCTGTTTTTACGTATTTCACGCATAGTAAAATATTCGAAACTTAAAAAAAAAAAAAATAAATATCATTAAAAATAATGGATTAATTTTTTGTTGAAAACATTGTTTTTTTTTAAGATGGCTGGCAAATGTAAATAAATACATTTATTAAGAGTATAAAATGCTAAAGTAAGGTTAAATTATTACTTTCATATAATAGAATAAAAACACGGCTATAAAACCATTGCGCCAACATTTAATTGGAATAAAATATTACTTAAATTGAATATTGAATTAAAAACATCATACCAACGTTTAAAAAAAAATAAAATTTTTCAATTACTTAAATTCAAATCCTTTAAAATAAGTTTTATAGGATATAATTATTTAACATTAAAGCATATGTGGCAATAAATATCTCAGGAATTTTTGAAAAAGTGTATTAATTTTTTAATAAAAATTTAAGTATACAATAATAAAGTAAAAAATATGTACATACATTTTTTTAAGCATTTTACCTTACGTGTATTGATAAGTACTAGAAAAAAAACGATCTTCATCTGTTATCCACATCTCTCGCACTTCACTGAAGAAGCAATTAGCGAGGTTTCCTCCAAAAATTTTAAATAAATTTCCTCTGACCCCCCCCCTTTTTATTATTATTATTATTATTATTATTAAAAGAAACACAACAAGTTCCCCATGTACCACATAGTAACACATGGGGCTTACAGAAAAAACTTCTGTAGAGAAAGTATGAAACACAATACAAAATAAACAAGAGAAAATTGAAATAAAATTAAGGATGATTACAAAGTTTTACAATGAATTGACAAAAAGTGTTAAAAGCAGGAAATCCAGGTTGGCCAAAATAAGGTCTTAAACGGCAATTTTTTTATGCCGATACCAATAATTCTTGGTAATTACCAATAACAACATTCATCTTCGAAACGGAGACATCCATTCGCTTTGAAATCTGAGAAATTCGAAGAGATGAATAATAAAATTTTAAAATGGCGCCGTAATTCACAAATATTTAGTAACCAATCAGAGAGCTGTTACATCACGCCTAGAATTAAAAATATTTAAAGAATCATTCATAATAAAATCATATTTAAAAAAATGCAAAATTAATTCGTATTTTAATATTTAACAGCCATAAATAATGTTTAAAACATTAAATTAAGTTTATAGATATTTAAACCAATTACTTTTAAAATAATGTGACGTCATTCATTACATCATTCACAACATAAAATTCCATAAAATATCATAAACAATAAAATATTTATTTACAATAAAAATGCAAAGTTAAATTCATTTTTAGGTAGTTTTCCGTTTCACCGGCGCAAATCTCGCCAAGCAGACTTTATTGGCGAAAACATACAGTAAACACATAAAAAATGTTAACAAATATTGGTTCTACGATTTTTTTATTTTGAAGGAATAAACATTTTAATTTAGCTTAAAATTTTGTAAAAATCCAATAAATAAAGACAATAAATTTGTAAAAAGATATTAATTTAAGAATTTATTATACTTACAGGGTTCAACATCCTGATTCGCCGGTTTATATCATGTGATCTGATCTCACGTAAATTACGCTACAAAAATCCAATTCTCTCAGTAATTATCTACATTAATTTCTCAGTAATTATCTAAATTTTTTAACATTAATTTTTACTAGTTGTTTTGGAATGCAAGTTTAAATGCAAAAATTATTTCAATTCGTACGAATAGCTTACTCAGAAATTATGTAAAACCGCAGCGCTTTACTTCGCTGGTGCATTCTCATTAGAATTGATAAATTTAACTCTTTACTTTGCCTTTTCTATATTTTCGCCTTCGGCGTAAAAGGCTACCAGCGAGGATATTCCGTTTGGTGGTGTTGGTGTATTTAATTATGGCAAAGCACACGAGGGCTATCTGCCTAAAGGGAGGGATGCCTTTCGTGGAGGACTTTCTAAGGGAAACTGGCTCGTATACACGTTACACATGGGGAAAACCACGAAAACGCCCATGCAGCCAGCCCGTTCGCGGGATTCGAACCTCAGACCGAACTACCAGTGTTCAGCGTCTTTACCGCTCGGCCGCTGGTGGGCCATATTATATTCCGTTTGGAATCAGTTGTACTATTATTGGCGGCTTTATCGCCTGCGCCGGCAAAACGGAAAAGTACCCATTTTTATTATTTGGAAGTCATAAATAATATTTAAAACACGGAATGGCTGATCTTTAGAATATGGTAACTGGTAGTTTGGCGACATTTTGGAGGCGATAAAGGTACCTGGGACTTTAATAAATAATGTGATAATGTGATAAATACCTGGGCTTTTAATAAATAATGTGTTGTTTTGTAATAATAATGTAATAATGTAATAATGTGAGCAGTACTCAGTTCCGATTACGCATTATTTTGTGTGAGGGAAATGAGAGATCATGGGATATGTCATGTGATATTAATGGACGAATTACGGTTCTTCAATCGGAAAAGAGGGGAAATCGGGAAAAAATCTGGAAATTTTGTATTGGGCTTTATTCTGTGTTGTGTGAAACAGTGTTCGTTAATTTTTGGATCCCATGGCCCTAACTAAAGTGAATTCGAAATGGGTATTTAGTGGGATTGAAAGGGGTAGTAATAAGTGTTTCTTTAAGGTTGTGCGAGATAGAAGTAAAGATGTTTTATTAAGTTATTTATTTTACCTGGTACCTTGCTGTGAAGTATGATTTTAAAGATCCTGAAACAGGCACACATACGCTTGCTTTTTATTTAGCGGAGGAAATAAGAAAAGTTTATCGGACACGTAATCAAGATTCTGAAGAAGATTAGGTAAGTTAGTATTTTTAATTATTTGAATATATTTTTTTTATGCATTGTTCTAAATGTAAGGTGGAAGTAAAGTAATTTGGTATTATTGGGAAAATTGTTATTAGCAATGATTTAGTTTAAAGTAATTAGGATTGTAAGCTAATTTTTTATTAATTTAATGTATGTGCTTATTTATATTTTAAGTAGTGTTTTTGAATTTAATTATATTTTAATTAAATGATAGTTTTTTTTTTGTGAATTTTATGTTTGTAGGAATTTGGTATACATTTTAGTTGAAGTAAACGTGCATGGAAATAATTTAAATATTTGACACTAAGTATTTGTAATGTTTGCGGTATGAATTCGTTGGTGACGTTTATAATATAATAGATAATTTAGAGGTAAAAGTTTATGGATATTTTTATTTATTTTATACGTGGAAATGTTCATATTTGGAAAGGGTATATACTTTTTCGTTATTAGGTAATTTCATATATGTTCTTTTTAACGGGTTTAAAGATTCAGAAAATTGTCATGCATTTTCGTGAAATTTTTCTAATTTATAAGAAAAAAGGAGTGAACATGGATATGGTGAAGAGTGTGCGCAATGCCATTTTTGTGCAATTCTGGGATTTTTTTAAAGTAAAAATAAGTCGACGTGTACATGGTTTAGTGATATTTTAATTAAATGATAGTTATTTTGTGAATTTTATGTTTGTAAGAATTTGGTATACGTTTTAGTTGAAGTAAACGTGCATGGAAATAATTTAAATATTTGACACTAAGTATTTGCAATGCTTGCGGTATGAATTCGTTGGTGACGTTTATAATATAATAGATGATTTAGAGGTAAAAGTTTTTGGATTAT